AAAAAAAAAAAGAAATTGTGGTTAAATATGTTTCCCAAATCTTTTTCTCCTTCTGTGTAATCTTTGAGAGAAAACAGGTTAAATTCTTTTAAGGTTTTATTTTCTTGTTCTTTTTGTTTTTTCAGTTTTTATTGTTGATCTTAAGCACACTGAGTTTGAATGTAAACAAATGCATCATAAAAATAAAATCGTCATTACATTTTTTTTTTTTTTTTAATCTGTGATTCATTCAGTGGTGACTTTGTTACTGTGTCATTAACCAACAGTTTTATATCAGAGAGCAACTTGTGAGAACATTGTGTGTGTCATGCTATGACACATTATGATAAGTAGTACACACCCATGCTACAGCACTGTTTGGGCTGTTCATGCTGTTGACTGTGAAATGAAAATGATACCATCCCATTAGAAGGTGCTGTACTGTAGGCGCATAAACACTAAAACTGGGTGATTTGAGCTTGTTGCTAAGTGGTTTCTAGGTAACGCGATAAATATATAATACAAAACTCAACTTTTGTTGATATAAATCAGACGTTACCATCGTAAAAATAAAATGATACAATGACTTTATAAAGTTTTAGAGGAACATAGATAAAAATGGATCATTTTAGGATGTTGGCACTTCATGCTAAGAAGCATGATGAGATCTTAACATCAGATACGGATAAGAAGTTTGTGGACAAACAGACAGACAAAGATCTGATGTATTATTCTAAGATAAAGCTGCTGTAATTGTCAAACAAAGAGCGCCGTAGAGATGTTAATAGTTAGGAGTAAATATTAGTAGTAAAGCGTTAAGCATCCCATCCAAAGAGATCTCCAACTTGTGACCACATTACTGACTTTGCTGAAAGTCTCCAGCATCACTGTGAAATGCCAGTGTATCAAAGTACAGTTAAGACAGTTCTGCGTGCAGTGATTAGCATTTTTAAATCTCTTACTTGATTCCTTTTCTCTGGAGGCAGAGAAGGATCTCCATCCTGTCAGTGACAAAAAGACAAAGGAAGTTGTCATTAGATGCCACAAAGTTTAATAGCAGTAGTTTTTATCCTCTGCTCTGATGCAGCTTTTAAAACGGAGTCAGATCAGCTTACAATGAGCTCTCTGTACTTCTTCTTGAGTCCCTGGTGTCGCTCACGGAGCTGGTTGGCCATCAGTTTGTACTGATCCCTCTCCTGCTGACAGGTGTCCAGCTCTTTAGACAGAATCAGAAGAGCTTCTTTCTTACTCTCCAACTTCCGCTTACAAACCAGGAACTGCAGAGAAAGCAAGGTTTTGAGGAAAAACAAAAGCTTCTGGCATGTAGTCGATATAACGTTATTTGATTATTTGAGGGCTAAAGAGTTCTCTGGTCATCATTAAAGACCAAATGCACTGTGAAACATGTAAAAGAAAAACAAACAAAACAACCCACATATATACACTACTATAGTGGCACAAAAACGTTTTCTGATGGTAAAAAAAAATAGCAACGGTTTGCGTTGCTTCTCCTTGTTATTTTAACTGCTTGTCCATCTGATGTATTGGTTAAACATTTTCAAAAGCAGAAGAGCATCTCTGAATGCACAATACATGAGATCTTGAAGCAGATGGGCTACAGCCGCAGAAGACCACACAGGGTATGAACAGGAAACCGAGGCTACAATGCCCTCTGACCCTTTGTGAAAACTAGTTTCTTGAGCAGGGGTTCACTGTACTCAAATGGCCTCCACATTCACCGGATTTAAGTCAAATAGAGAGAGATGGTGGGACAGGAGCTTTACATCATGGATGTGTGATGCTAGCATGTAAATATGGACCAAAATGTTTCCAGTACTCTGTCGAATTAATGTCATGAAGAATTAAGGCACTTCTGAAAGGAAAGGGGTTCAACCCAGTGCAGGGTGTATCTAATAAAGTGGCTAATGAGTGCATGTCTGCAAAGTATTGCACAACCAAAGCTGTGGACAAAAATAGTAGCATGAAGCATAGACTAGGATAAAACTACTCCAGTAGCTTAAATGCAAAGCAGTTCAACACTGACTGCACTCAAGTGAAATACTCGAGCAAACGCGTTGATATGCAGCCATCTGAACGTGTTTCTTCATTAAAGCTGCAACTCGCAGTGTGGTGCAAGTCAGTAACTTTTCAAGGCAACGGGCTCAGCAGGCACAAGGAAACTCAAATCGTCTTCCTCATACATGTGCAGTCCTTGCAGGTAAGACAAACCACAGCAGCTGAGATTTAATCCCGTGAGCTCGGATTAATTTGGACACAAGTGTTTCAGTGGATCCGAACAAGCGATAGCAGACAGAACTAAAACAGTGAAACGATCATGTACGCCACAGTATTTTAGCCGGTCAGGACACCTGTCCCACAATTATTGTGCGTCAGTGAAGGTTTTTTACGCTCTTTCCTCATTCTCGTCCTTTCTGCGTCTTCGCAGTCTCACCTCACTGACCAGCCCCTGCCAGTCACTTTCGCTCCTCCTGGACGGATCCATCGCGTCCTGCGGCGGAACAAAGGTTACCCAAGCACAGTGAGTTTCACAGAAGCATCACCCCTCTGCATCTGCAGAAATCAGAGTCAAACCCGATTAAAGCGATCGAGAAACGCGATTTGCATCACTTCCGTCCGTCTCGACGTCAGAAAAGCGTCACGTCGCATTTACAGAACCTCGTAAAACAGAAAGAGACTAAAACAAAATAACCAAAACGAAACGAGATGCCTAACAGCTGAGCTGTTGTGTGTGTTTATTATAGTAATCACCCCTAAACAAGAGAGCGTGACAAATGATGTATTAGGCAAGGGGTGGGCAATTCCAGGCCCCGAGGGCCGGTGTCCCTGCAGGTTTTAGATGTGTCCTCGAACCAACACAGCTGATTTAAATGGCTAAATTAGCTCCTCAACATGTCCTGAAGTTCTCCAGAGGCCTGGAAACGAACTAATCATGTGATTCAGGTGAGTTGACCCAAGGTGAGATCTAAAACCTGCAGGACACCGGCCCTCGGGACCTGGAATTGCCCACCCCTGTATTAGGTAATAAATGTCCCTCTATTTATAAAATAGTCAATAAGAATTGGGGTAAAAATACTTGTTTCTCTGTTTTGTATTGTTTTGTTTTTTTTATAGATTAGCTAGTGCCAAATGATGAAAATAATATGGTTTAACTTTATTAAAACGAAGGCAGGCATTAACACTGTCAGCATACAGCTGATCTCTATATTTTATTTCAAAATATGACATTTTATCAGATGTCGTCAAGATTTTAGTGTTATTGTTGTTGTTGTTGTTGTTGTTGATGATGATAATGATTATGATGATGGTGATGCTGTAAGACTAAAACTAACTGCACTGTTGAACTGAATAAATATGCAATAGCCATTTGAGCTTCCTGTGTTCCAAAATTCTACCATACAGGTCAAATAAACAGTATTTTTGAGCCTGATGTGATTTACCGTGGAAAACCTTTAAATTACTTTTTCTTTTTCTTTGTCAAATGTGACTAAACCTTAAACCTTTTTATACTAGTGCTGTTGTTGTTATATGGTTGTTTGATGTGAGTTTTCCCTTTTTTTTTTTGGCTTGAAGTTGTATTTATGACGCTCTTGTGTAAAGCACAAACCCCTAAGATTGGTCAGTGAATAATCATTTATACAGTTGATGGCATGCTGTAGACAAGTGGCGAGCAATTTAAGTCAGGGTTATAAGAGGAACCTCATTCATATCAATGCACACTGAGTTATAACAATAGCAGATTTTAATGATGCTCTCTATGATCACCTTACTTTTTCTGTAATGGTCTAAATCACTACTACTAGGGAAAACTGTCCCACACTATCACAATACTTTATCCATCTTCTTGTTTCCTAAAATCAACAAAACATGAGATTCTGTCTTTGTCCTTATGCTAATCAAAAAACACGGACAGTACATTCAGTTTAAGACATGCTGTCTGCAACACTTTATCTTTACTTTAATGGTTTCATGTTTACATCAGCAAAACATGATGGAAAAACAATTTAATACAACGTGTGGTTAAATGTTCTTTAATCCATTTCCACAAACTGTTCTTACATGGGATTCAAGATCTGAAAAACATGATTATTTTTCAGCATTACTTTTTAATGACGTGGGAAAAAATATGTATACATCACTGTTGGTAGTGCATTAGGAATAATTAAAGGACAAACTCGTTATCAAAGCTATCAAAACACATTGATTATACTAGTTGGCATTTTGTCATTTTTATCTAACTGTCAATTTTCAAAAATCAGGCTCCAATATTGTTTAATGTGTGAAAAAAAATCTTTACAATATATGACAAATATCAAACGTTCTGTAAAGAAAAGGGAACGCTTGTTTTTTGACTGAATGAAAAGGCCTCCTACAAAGGCTTTAAAGGTACATAGTAGCACACAATAGACATTATGGTTATTATTCCATATTAACACTTAGTATCATACATTTTGCATAGGAATCAAAACTAAATTATGTATGTTATGTTGCTATTAAATAGGCACTCAGTAGCATGGCCATAAAGTAGTTTGATATAAATCTAGTGGAGTTAGGTTAAAGCTAGTAATATTCTGTTTTCAAGCCGAGGGGAGATTAGATCTAATCTCCCCTCGGCTTGAAAACAGAATATTACTAGCTTTAACCTAGTAAAAGGTTAAAGCTAGTAAAAGTTGAGGGGAGATTAGATCTAATCTCCCCTCAACATACCCCAACGTACCGGCAGCAAGCCGACAGCATTCCGAGGGAGACTGGGGACATTGTTCAGCATCTCCATTGCCGAAGATGCTGCATTGAGCTGTGGCAGCAAGGTGGTTGGTCCCTGTCGTGGTGGTAATCCCCAAACCAAATGGTGGACACCAGAGGTGAAGGGAGCCACCAGGCTGAAGGAGGAGTCCTATCAGGCTTGGTTAGCCTGTGGGACTTCAGAGGCAGCTGACAGGTACCGACAGGCCAAGCGGAATGCGGCTCAGGCAGTGGCTGAAGCATAAACTCGGGTGTGGGAGGAGTTCGGAGAAGCCATGGAAAAAGACTTTCGGACTGCCTCAAAGAGATTCTGGAAAACCGTCAGGCGTCTCAGGAGGGGAAAGCGGTGCTCTACCTGCACTGTGTATAGTGCTGG